AATATTGAGCTATTCATTGTTTCCATTGTCCCTTAGTAAATCTGGTCATAGTTTGTATATGTTCTTGCAGATGTTCTCAACCTGAACATTTGTTCTCACTTTTGCATCAAACTTTTGTACCTGATTTTGCATTTAGGCACTGGTTCCAATAGACTGAGGATGAAGAAAGCAATAAATACCGCCTGCCAAGGCTAAAGATGGTCAAGATGAAGTCCTTTCCTGCCCACCATTGTTCTCTTGGCCCTAGATGAACACATGGCATGGAGAGCATGTGCTATGGCATAGACCACATTGTAGATGCTGTAGCTGTGGCCAGTCATACTCGTTTCAAAAACAGTTTTAGGAAGGCTTTCCAACTTCTTCTCTCCAAGACATGTTTTATCCTCCTGTATTAGCTCCTGGGGATTTGGACTTGAACATTCAAAAGCTTGTTCCCAGAACTCGAGGAGAAAGTCATCTGCTTGTGCCCACTGAGGTCTGAAGTTCTGAAGGTATTTCTGGAATCCATGTGATTGCTTTGAGTGAATTGAAAAGGCAATTGTACCTTGAAGCATTTCTAAATTCAGTCTTCTTGTAACACCTGTTGCTATTAACTCACTCTGTGCTGTCATAATCCACACCTTGCCAACCAAAGTGTTTTCGTTTTCTTCAGGAAGCAATAAGTATTTGCAGTTCAGCAGCCACAGAATAGTCATACTATCACCATAGTTAACAAATGCTCTGGCTGAAGTATTCATGCAAGATTCAAACAAATTTACAAACCTAATATCCTCTTCACTGTTGGTAAAGACTCGACCAAAACGTGGGAGTCAAAGTGTGAAGGCAGAACAGATTCTGCTCTTGGAGAACAAAGCTTCAATGGCCTCCAGAAAATATGTTCCACTATCATCATCCACGACAAAGAGTCCAACCCAGGTCCAACCCAAATGCTGAAGCAAGTGCACAATTCCTGTGTACTCATGCACTTCATTAGGGACCATGCGGTAGAAGGAAGGGAAGCAAGTTGTGTCACTTTTTTCTGAGGGGAATGAGTCATACACAAGCTAAAGAAAATAGGCAGAAAAACTAGTGACAGATTTGGAAGAAGAAGTTCCCATGCAGTGACTCATATTTGGTAATGGAAAATAATTATCAATCTCCATTTTAATGTCTAGATTTGATAGAAATGGCAAGTTTAAAGTAAATGTGGCATTCCTTACCCAGAAATATAGGAACATGCATTATGAGAGAGGGGGAAACATAACAACTTTTAGTATATAATTCAAACTTGAAGTTCATCTTTCTTCTTTGGCTTGCTTCTTTGAACACTGGGATATTTTTCCCCTCAACATTACATAACTTCTCTGTTTTGGAACTTCAGCATTCCTCCTATAACCACATTTGGGATGAGCTATGAAAGGTGGCAGGGAGGTGGTATTCCCTGCCAAGCTCTTACCTGTGGAATCTTGTAGAGTCCTAGAATATCTGCCAGGTGGAAGGAAGTATCAGAGGAAAATCCCTCGAGGATGCTCATGAGGATTTTTTTTGTGTCACATTCATAGTTGGGAAGAAAGTTATGAGACTTGAAGAGCGAGCCCAGAATGGCACGATAGGTCATTGTCTCAAAGAAGTAGCTGTCATAAATGTGGAACCCGAGGGTGACATGGACAAAATCTGAGGATCTTTATTGATCTCACTTACAGCATATGCCAAAGCCAGGAGGTGCTGGTAGAACTTGGTCACCATGCTGCAGATAAAGGTAGATGGAATCTCACTGGTGAATTATGCCATGCATTAAATGGTTCATCAGAATGCTGATGCACTGTACCTACAAGAACTCGAAAAATGAGATGATTCTTTGTAAATGCCTCACACATACTTTAAACTGCCTCCTGGCAACAGACCCGGTTTTTCTTATGTCAGTGAAGCAGAACTTTTTTCTTTTTAAATTTCAAGTCAGCTATCCATGGTGCAGAATGCAAGTTGTGCTTATCTGTATCCCTGAGATTAGTTCCTGTAAAGTTTAGCCTGAAATCCCAAAAATCCAATCACAGCCCCACTGGCATCACAGTAACCAGTCTCCACTGCTGCTTGGTTCATAGCACTCATTGTTTCTTAGTTCCATGGCTAATTATTTTCTATGCTATCATGCTGTTTTCCATGCTTTGAACCATAATTTTTCAACCTAGAAAGTCTGTCTTCAATACCAGCCATGTGAGTGACTGAACGCATTTTTATACATATGACAATACACAACCATTAAAATGGTGATATTTAAGATCTGATTCTATGATTTTGTATCTGAAGAGGAATACTCAGCATAGAGCATTTCCCTGGCAGTGCAGAGGGTTCCCACCTTGCTTCTTTTCTCATTGAGTGCAAGTTTGCTTCACTGCCTAGAATGAGTGTCTTGCCTTGATATATTCAGCTTGGATTCTTTCTTTCTTTCTTTTTTGATTAATCCTCAAACATTTCTGGATTTTACATACACCTGGAGATGAACTTGCAAAAACTCGTGATGAAAAGCCCTGCTGTTCTCTTCTAAAACATTGCACTTTCATATTGCTTTCACATAGGGAAAAATACTTATAATAGGCAGGAAGAAGTTGGATGAGGATCTTACACTGAAAAATCAAAACCCATCTCCTAGGATGAGTGCTTGCTGAAGAAAGCTTCATTCAAAATATAAATGATGTGAGATGTAATGAGGAAGATCCCTGGCTGGTTCCATTCATGATGAACTGAGATGGATTCGCTTGCCGGGCACTTGTGGTTATCACTTCTGCACTTGTGCAGAGCCAGCAGAAGAAGCAAAGTTGGGGGTCGCATTCTTTGCTGACCAGTATCCATGTGCTGTAGACACTTTGCCTACTGCCCCATAGCTGCAGGTATTAAACGTGCACTGGATAACAAATGACTCTTTCTACTTTTGAAAGACTAGATAGAAGATGGGAAAAGATTCCACAGCACCTCACTTGTGCCATGCGTTTTCTGTTGATTTGCCTGCAGCTTCACTGCGTGCATCAGTCTCATTTGAGCCGTTGCAACGACTGGTCATCATATATAAAAACATTACTGTCAAACAGAAGTTTCAGCCTTATGCTTAAGTGATCCTCAACTCTCAGACTATGTCCTAAAGAGCGACCATCCACTTTGCTCCAAAACCAGTACCATACAAGGAAAGCGAGGATGTTGAAAATTCTATCTGAAAGAGCCCTGCCATCCTCTTTCTGTCCATTTTAACTCTGAAAGGCAGAAGAGAAGATTTTATAAAGACTTTGCTTGATTCTGTTTCCAGCATCCATTCAAAACTGCTGGACCTTCTTGCACTGAGTTAATTATAGTGGTGTGTATAATTATACAGAGAGAAACCTGTGCCTCCAGGCTGCCCTTGTTTCAATGGACATCAGTGGAACAGCCCTGGCAGCTAATGTGGCTACAGCACCACATCTCTGGGACAGAAGTACACACCAGGGAGGCAGGCAATATGAAATTGGGCTCAAGAGATTACAGTGCACGAAACCAGTGAGTATGCTAAGACCTGAGTTGTGGCCAAAAGCAAGGATGTGCAACATAAATATTCCTGCATGAAGCTCTATGGTCACCCGTTTCATTGGCTTTAAAATGGAATTCAACAAATGCATGGTAGAATATAGTAGCCAATAGCTACTAGCCATAATGATCATATCTTCCTGTGCAAATTGTGAGAGAAAATGAGTTACAAGGGTGTACCAATTTCTTCTTTCTTCCCTCCCTCCCTTCTTAATCCACTAGGTCCTTCTGCCCTCAAAGCCATCCCAAATGTCTCCCAATACTGCAGGTGGTTAACAATAGCATCCAGGTTGAAAAGAAATGCATTGCTGAACATATAACCAACAGCAGATAAAGGACAATGGAAGAAATACAATAAGGAAAATCAACATTAACGATCAATCAATAGCCCTCTTCTTCCATGCACTCTGTTTTGGATTGAAAGATTATTTTCTGGGGCCAAAAGAGTTGTTTAAAAGCACAAGTAACAAGAACTTGTGGGTTATAGTTTATTTACTTATCATTCCTGATGTTTCCCCTTCAATATTTCCTCAATTTTGATTTGATTTATATACTCAAGGCTATCTAAGAAGCAAGCTTGGTGAAGTCGTTTAATCCTAAACCAGATAAACTCCATAAGTGCCATTGAGTGTCACATTGCAACCTGTTTTTTAATCAATGCAGCAGGAATCGATCCCTTGAACCCTCCCAATCTTTTTATAAGCATAACAATTAAATAAAATCATGTCTTTGAATAATGAAAACGAACTATCGATGTCTTCCCGTGAGTTTATATTTATAAGTACTTCTCAAGAACTCGCACTTACTTTAGCAAAGGAACTTAATCCACAGTGGTGTCCCCATTTAATGATATATTTTCCTCAAACAGCAAGAAATGAAGAATTTCAGATGGATGGTAATTTATTTCATGAATGCAGTTAAATGTGTTACTTTATTGCACAATATGTTATTTTCAATTTGGACATGCATGCAAGCAGACTCATAATAATTGGAGAAGAGTATTGGATTAAGTATGAAAGACAGTTGTCATGGTATCCACTAAGGTTTGGAAGCTCAGGCTTCTGCTCCCCTCTTGACCATGAAGTTGATTGATGAAAAGCAGGTTAGTCATGGACTCCCAGCCTAACCTACCTTCCATTACAGTTCTGAGAGAAAAATGTGGAGGAGGAAATTGAGAAGGATTCTATGAGCAGGCAGAGGTTCTTTGCAGGAGAAAGTTGGGATGAAACCAAGAAAGGGATATGTGTGCCAAAGGATGTGCTAGGTATGCAGTCACATGGTAGAAGACTGAAAAGTGATTTGGCGATTTTCATATATTTGTGTGTATGCTTAACTATAGTGCAAAGTATTAGTAGCTAAAATGGGATGAGCAGAGCTACACGCTGGTTTCAAAGCCTCCGATTTATGACAGACTATTGGAGAATAAATTAAAAAAGTATAAAAGTCTATGTTTCTTTCCTTCCTCCTTACTAGACATTCTTTGCTGTTAGCTCAGACCTCAGCAAAATTATATAGCATTTGGGGGAAAAGATGCAACCCAGTAAGCCAGCACTGGAAGCTAAGATGGAGAAGATCTCCACAGCCACCATGTATTTCCCCTTGCTGCTCTGGTAGGTTGGAACGAATGACAGCCAAACACTGCAAAACACCAGCATGCTGAAGGTGATGAACTTGGCTTCATTGAAACTGTCAGGCAATTTCCTGGCAAAGAAAGCCACCACAAAGCTGACGATGGACAAAAGTCCCAAGTAGCCCAGCACACTGTAAAACATGACAAAAGAGCCTTCGTTGCACTCTGCAATGATCTGTCCTGGTATAGAATGCATGTTCATAGTTGGGAAAGGGGGGAAAGTTCCCAGCCACAAGGCACAAATGCCTGCTTGGATCGAAGTGGAGGTAAGGACCACAAGGACAGACAGCCTTCTCCCCATCCACTTCCTCATGTTTGACCCTGGCTTGGTATCCATGAAAGCCATAACCACAGTGATGGTCTTGGCTAATACACAAGAAACTGCCACACAGAAGATTGTGCCAAAAGCAGCTTGTCGAATAAGGCAGTTGACCAGGCCTGGTGGGCCAAGGAAAATCAAGGAGCAGAGGAAGCAGAGCAGCAGAGAGACGAGTAGAGTGTAGGTGAGGTCCCTGTTGTTGGCCTTCACTATGGGGGTATCTTTGTGCTTAATAAAAATTCCAAGCACCAAGGCTGTGACCAATGTGAAAGAAAGAGCAGCTGAGACTAGGCTGATTCCTATAGGTTCTTGGTAAGACAAAAAGGTGATCACTTTGGGGGTGCATCCGTCTCTGCTCTTTCTTGAGTAATGATCATCTGGACATTGTAAACATTCATCCATATCTGGAAAAAGAAGAGGAAATGATATTTTGTCAGTCACTGTGCCAACATTAATGGAAAATTACTCTGAATATACTATTAAATGTGATGTCGCAGCCCCAATGTTTCAATCTGCTGAATCAGTATGCAAAGTCATTTTGAAAACCTTGTTACTTTATTCATTAACTGCCAATCCATTGTCTATAGAAACAACTAATTCTACATAGAGCACTGAGTGCTAGATATTAGTATTGTCTGGCATCTCCCAGTTGGACTGAGCTGTGAATTGATTTTGGTTTTAATGGCAAGGAAATAACACCAACTGTTTTATGAGGACACCAAAATTGCAGTGTACAAGTTCAATTGTCTACACAGATGTTAAATGTAGGTCAACTTTCCTTCGATCGTCCTTGCATGTTCATTTGGTATAATAGTATGATAAAATACCATGGCCTGGAAGCAAGATCATACGGAACACTCACTTAGCATTGCAATGCATATATTCTAGTGAATTATCACTTTACATTGTTGATAGTGTTTGGTCAACATTCAAGGACAAGAGCCTGGGATACCGGGAATAAAATGAGTGAAGTTTTCGGAATATATTTCCTGTGGTCAAGGAGGAGGATTATCAGATCTTCATCACACTATTTCTCCAAGCACAACCCTTCCCAAAGGCCTTATCGGAGTTGGTGCTAGATCGATTTTGTTTCTGTGAGAATGCAACATTAGTTAAGCAAGCAAATCAGAAAAGAGTCCATCTGACTTTGAGCAAAGCCTATCTAGATCCTGTGACCATTTTCCAAAGTGTCCAAATAGGTACCAGCAAGATGTCAAGAAGATGATAAAAAAATACAAAAAGAATCAACATCTGCTGGTATTCCCAGTGACTGGTATTCAAAATCAAGTTTCCACTGATCTTGTGAGCAGCTTATGTTATCCTCACTGGCAACCTTGATAGCCATCTTCCATGAAACTGTCCACCCCATTTTTAGAACTCAGTTTGCTCACATCCCCATGTCTAGTATCCCGGAAATCGATCATTTGACTTAGCTTTGCACACAGGAACATTTCCATTGCTCTTCATGTACTTTAGGTTGATGAGGTTCTGAGAAGGGACATTCAACCTATTCTTCCTGTTTGTACTACCCCTTTCCCTCCAAAGACTTCCCTCATGTACCATCTAAAAGAGGCGGAGAAAGTCTCAGGTAGAAACGTGTGAAGAACCCATTTGGGGTTTGAGAATAGATAGGATGTACTCAATTCAGCCGACAGGACTCTGGCCTGCTGTCTCTCTGTCCTCAGTTTGCATTGCACCAGTGCTCCTTCTGCATATGGGCATTGCAGAATTTGAACCAAATTTTGGGCACATTTTCACATCACTAATCTGAAGTTCATAAAAATCATTGATCTCCTCTTTCCACAATGATTTTATTCTTCACACTCGTGAGTGTTTAACTCAATTAAGGTGAATGGACATACCATTGGCCCAAATGGACAAGGATAGGGTGAGTCAGCCTTCATTTCCAAATTATTACTGTTGTTGATGTTGTTAGTCACGAAGTCATGTCCGACCCATTGAGACCCCATGGACAACATTCCTCCAGGCCTTTCTGTCCTCCACCGTCCCCCAGTGTCCACTTAAGCTCACACCAACTGCTTTAGTGACTCCATCCAGCCACCTCATCCTCTGCCGTCCCCTTCGTCTTTTGCCATCTATTGTTCCCAGCATTAGGCTCTCTCCAGGGAGTCCTTCCTTCTCATTTGGTGGCCAAAGTATTTGAGTTTCATCTTCACTATCTGGCCATCTAAAGAGCAGTCAGGGTCAATCTCCTCTAGGACTGACCAGTTTGATTGCCTTGCAGTCCAGGGGACTTGCAGGCGTCTCCTCCAGCACCACAATTCTAAGGCCTCAATCTTTTGGTGCTCAGGCTTCCTTATGGTCCAACTTTCACAGCCATACATTGCAACGGGGAAAACCATAGCCTTGACTATACGCACTTTTGTTGGCAGGGTGATGTCTCTGCTTTTTAGTATGCTGTCTAGATTTGCCATAGCTTTCCTCCCCAGGAGCAAGCATCTTTTAATTTCTTGGCTGCAGTTTCTATCTGCAGTGATATTGGAGCCCAGGAAAATCAAATCTGTCACTACCTCCATTTCTTCCCCATCTATTTGCCAGGGAGTGAGAGGACCGGATGCCATGACCTTATTTTTCTTAATGTTGAATTTCAAGCCAATTATTTTCAAATAAAGAGGGAAAAACGTTCAGTCCTGTGAAGTAATCAAAAGGAAACACCCCCCACATCTCTCTCTCTCTTTCACACAAACACACACTCACACACAGACACACACACACAGAGTTGAGCCCGGTATCTCCATTTCACGATTGGTATATGATTGGCTGCACTTTAATCCAGCTTTTATGGAATGTTATACATCAATGGACACACACTTGTCTTGTTGGCAATCTTTCCTTCTGGGCATGGGTCACAATCATAGCAGCAAAATTTCTTTCCTTCCTGCTTTCTTTTCTGAAAGCCCAAGTTGCAGGAGTCAGTGCAGACAGAAACTGGAAGCACCTGTTAAAAAAATTATGGGAAATCAGGAAAAGGAACATAGTATTAGAAGAATGTACAACAACAGGAAGGCAAAAAATAAGTGAACAGGTGACATGGGTGGATGGAGAACATGGTCAATCCTCATAATTGGATGGTCAGTACATTACTGGGCAGGGCAACAAACCTTTCTGCAGTTCTTGCTTTTCTTGGGAGACCTGGAAGAAATAGTATAACCTCCCAAACCAGAATCGTCAACACAGTTCACCCAACATAACTTTTGGGATCCCTTTCAATTTACTTACAACCATTAATTTCCTCCTCATTCCGCTATATTGTCATCTTACCAGGCCCTAGATATATTCAAGTTGTATATCAATGGACATCAACAGCTAACAGTTCACCTGTCTGGATAGGAGACTATCCTTCAGGGATACTGAAGAATGCACACCTGGTTAAATGTTCTGCGCAACTCCATCACATCTTCATGGATAATGAATTGTTTTCCTTCAACAGCACTGGGATCCACTCTCCCAATATTCACTCTGACAAATGAGTTGTTGGGAAATAGAAGTGTGTTAGTTACATCAAATCCAGCAACTATCTCTCCATGTTGATTAAAAGAAACCTCCTCTCCAGCTGAAGTATTAAATGTAATTCCCTGAAGGTATGAGTGCAGCTAGTAGGCAGAGGGAAAAGAAGCATAAGGATAATGTGTCTATGAGGAATGATAATTTTAATTGTTCCTTTATCAAGGAGATGAGATTAGATGAGATGAGATGAGATGGGAGGGGAGGGGAGGGGAAGGGCAAAAAGATATATTGAGTATGAACAATTTTGCAAAGGTTGATAAATTCTTAAGTCTGCCACCCTGACAAATAGAAATACAATTCTTATCTTTCCACACAGGTCACATTGTCACAGTTCCATTGGAATCTTCCTTATCTTGGGAACTATTGACAGTTACTGGAAGAGATGCTATTATTCTACAGGGTCCAGTGTTCCACACTCCACCATTACTTGCATTTGGCCAACTTTTGTAAAGTATGTTTTCTTTGTCTGAAAAAGGGTTATTGTGGTGGTCTTCCAGGTTGCTCCCCCTCTGAGCTTTGACTAGTTTCCCCTTGCCATATCTTAACTAAACTTAGTAGTATTGCTGCCACTACCACAAATACTAAGACTAGATCACTGCATTTTCTTTCATATATGAGACAATTGCATGCTTCTTTGTATTTAATGGGGATCATGAAAACAATCACTGTATCATGGAAATACGACCTGCCAAGGCTGAAGATGGTCAAGATGAAGTCCTTTGCTGTGCTCCATTGTTTTCTGCTTGGCCCTGGAGGAGCATATGGCATGGAGAGCATGTGCTATTGCATAGACTGCATTGTAGATGCTATAGCTGTGGCCAGTCATACTTGTTTCAAAAATAGTTCTAGGAAGACTTTCCAACTTCTCCTCCCCAAGACATGTTTTATTGTCCTGTATCATCTCCTGGGGATTTGGAATTGAACATTCAAAAGCTTGTTCCCAGAACTCGCGAAGGAAGTCATCTGCTTGTGTCCACTGAGGTCTTAAGTTGTCAAGGTATTTCTGGAATCCCTGAGGATGTTTTGAGTGAACAGCAAAGGCAATTGTTCCTTGAAACATTTCCAAATTCAGTCTTCTGGTAAGGCCTGTTGTTATTAGCTCACTCTGTGCTGTCAAAATCCATACTTTGCCTTCAAGTGCAGCTTCCATCTCATCAAGAATTAAGATATTTTTGAAGGCAATCAACCACATAATAGTCATACTGTCACCATAGTTAACAAAAGCTCTGGCTTTAGAATTCATGAACGATTCAAACGTATTTACAAACCTAACATCCTTTTCATTATTGCTAAGGAGTCGAGTGTGGCATGGGAGTCGAAATGTGAAGGCAGAACAGATTCCATTCATGGAGAGCAAAGATTCAAAGGTCTTCAGGAAATATTCTCCGCTATCATCATCCGTGACAAAGAGTCCCACCCAGGTCCAACCAAAATGTTGAAGCAAGTGTGCTATTCCTGAATACTCCTGTGCCTCATTAGGTACCATGCGATAGAACGAAGGGAAGCAAGTTGTGTCAAGCTGTTCTGGGGGGAATGAGCCATAGGCAAGCTAAAGAAAATATATGGAAGATCAAGTGATAGATGAGGAGCACTGATTTTTCATGCAGTGACTCATATTTGTTGAAGGAAAATCATTATTAATCTCATTTTAAATCATTGAAAATCATGACTAATCTCCATTGCAATTGGTGGAACATGGCAAGTGTAAGGAACAACTGCTTTCCCTTCCCAGAAGTACATAGATGTACATTTAGGAGAAAGAAAAGGAAATGAATAAATAGTACATAATTCAGAATTGAAGGACATGTCCTTTCATAGGATGAAGTCATTACATCTTTTACTTGGTTCTTTGAACCCTGAAAATTCCCCCCAATAACTGATACCTCTCCATCCTTGGAACCACAGCAGTACCCCAACAGTTACATATGGGATGAGCTATGAAAGGTAGCAGGGGGATGGTATTCCATGCTGAGCTCTTACCTGTGGAATCTTGTAGAGATGTAGAATATCTGCCAGGTGGAAGGAGGTATCAGAGGAAAATCCCCCAAGGATGCCCATGAGGCTTTTCTTTGTGTCACATTCATAGTTGGGAAGAAAATTATGAGACTTGGAGAGCAAGCCCAGAATGGCACGATAGGTCATTGTCTCAAAGAAGTAGGTGTCATAAATGTGGAACCCGAGGGTGACATTGGACAAAATCTGAGGATCTTTGTTGATCTCACTTACAGCAAATGCCAAAGCCAGGAGGTGCTGGTAGAATTTGGTCACCATGCTGCACAGAAAGGTAGAAATATGCATTTCCCTGGTGAATTACGCCATGCATTCAATTGATCAGGATACTGGTGCACTGCACCTACAAGAACTTGAAAGATGAGATGATCCTTTGTAAATGTCTGTGCATAATTTAAACTGCTTCCTGGCAATAGACACAATTGTTCATATGGCAATCGAGCAGAGCATCCTGAATGTGTAGTCAGCTCTTCATGGTGCTGAATCCACTTGCTTTTAGCTTAATCTCTGGGAATATTTCCTGTAAAGTTCAGCCTAAAATTCCAAAAATCCAATCACAGCCCCACTGACTGCAGAGTAACCAGCCTCCACTGCTCCTTGGTTCATACCATTCATTCTTTCTAAGTTCCTTGGCTATACTGTTTTTATGCCCTCATGCTTTTTCCCATGTATTGAACAATATTTATTCCACCTAGAAACCTCTTTTCCATACCATTTGTGTGAGAGACAGAACCGACTGTTATAGAAATGATCATATGTAACCATGGAATAAATTGTAATATTTAAGAATGGATTGTATCATTTTTTTCTGAGGAGGAATACTCAGCATAATTGCTTTTCACTGGCAGTTCAGCATGTTCCTCCCTTTCTTTTCTAACTGAGCGCACATTATCTTTGCTTCCTAAGATGAGCATCTTGCCTTGGTATATTCAGCTTGGATGTCTTTTTTTGTTATCAGTCCTCCCAATAGTTCTACATTTTGATTTCATGTGGAGATGATTTCTCAATAGTTCCTGTTCCAAAGCCTTGCTGTTCTTTTAGCAAAACATTGCTTGCTATGATAATATTTAATATCCCTCTCACATAAGGAAACTTAAATATAAAACTCCACGGCCCTGTTCCCATATTAAGGTGGAGGGAAACATCCCTTCTACAGTTTCTACAGTATGATTTTTTTTAACAGTAACTACTATGGCAAAAATATTTGGACACATATGAATATTGTAAAAAAGCCTATTTTCACACTCTGATATTAAACCATGCTTGAGCTGTGGTGATACAGGAAGGAGTTGGATGAGGATCTTACACTGCAAGATCAAAGCCCATCTCCTGGAATGGGTGCTTGCTGAAGAAAGGTTCGGTGAAAATATAAATGATATGAGATGCAATCCCACCAATGAGGAAGATCCCCGGCTGGTACCATTCATGAAGAACTGGGAGGGGATCACTTGCAGGGCACTTGTGGTTATCACTTCTGCACTTTTGAAGAGCCAGCAGAAGAAACAAAGCCAGGGGTCGCATTCTGTGCTGACCGAGATCCTTTGCTGTAGACAGTTACCCTACTGCCTCTGAGCTGCAAGTCTAACACCTGCAGTGGATAACAAAAGATTGTGTTGACCTTTAAATCCTATAGAATCATCCACAGCACCTCACTTATGCCACTGTTTTTCTATTGATTTGCCTGCTGCTTCATTGTTTGAATCACTTTCACTTGAGCAGTTGCAATGGCTCATCAGTATATTTAAAATGTTTCTGTCAAACAGAAGTGTGTCAACTTCATCTTTAAGTCAGCTTTAACAGTATCATTAAACGATGTCCTAAAGAGCAACTGATCAACTTTGCTTTGAAACCAGAACCATACAAGGAAAGGGTCAAAAATTCTGTCTGAAACAGCCCTGCCTGCCTGTCTGCAAGAGATCTGCCTGGAAGACAGATGAGGCCATTTTATAGCCACTATTCCCAACTGTTGATTCAATCTGTTTCTAGCATCTACTCAAATGTTGCTGGACCTTCTTGCACTGAATTAATTATAGTGGTGCAGACAATTATAGGGAGAGGCATCTGTGCCTCTTATCTTCCTTTACTCCAACTGATATCAGTGGAGCAACTCTGGCAGCAAATGTGTGTGCAGCTCTCTTGCACCTGCGGAAACAGTAGCACACAAATTAGTGGGGGGTCAATGTGAGAAAGGGCTCAAGAAATTACAGTGCAGAAAACCAGCAAATATGCTAAGACCTGAGATGTGGCCAAAAGCAAGGATGTGCAACATGAATATCCTTGCATCAAGCTATAATTATGGTCCCCAGTCTCCATGGCTTTAAGTTGGAATTCAACAAATGTATGGTAGAATAGTGGTACCAATAGCTGCGAATCATAACCATTTATCACATTTTTCCATGCAGGTTGTGAAGGCAAATGAGTTACAAGAGGATATTACTTTTGTTTTTCTTTTAGTTTTTCCTCAATCCATTAGCTCCTTCCCCCCGCAAAGGGCTCCCAAATATCCCCCAATACTTCAGGTGCTTCACAGTGGAGTTCATATTGAAAGGATATACATTAGTGAGAAAATAACTAAGAACAGATAAAAGCACAATAAAATACTATGGTAAAGAAAATCAGCTTTAAGAATCAATAGCACTATTCTGTGCACTTTGTTTTGGCTTGGAAGATGATTTTCTGGGGCCAAAAGAGTTGTATAAAAGCACAGGTAAAGAGAGTTTGGGGTTCTTTTTGATTTACTTATCATTCTTGTTGTTTCCCCCTTGATTTTTACTCAGTTTTATTTGATGTATATACTCAAGACTTTCTTAGAAGCAAGCTTGGTGAAGTTCTCAGTCCTAAATCAGGTAAACATTGTAGGTGCAATCAAGTGCCATGTTTTACAAGGAAGTTCAGAAATGAGATTTTGGTCATAATTCAGCAAGAACAAATCCCTTGAGCCCTACCCAGGTTTTTATAAGCATTTCACTTGAATATAAACCAACTATTGACTAATGAAAATACACTGCTACTGTGTTCCAGTGAATTGAATATACACGAGTACATTTCAAGAACTCACACTTACTTTAGTGAAGGAACTGAATACAGAGTGGTGCTCCCTTTTAATAATGTATTTTCCTGAAACAGCAAGACTGAAGAATTCCAGAAGGTTGTTAACATAGTGCATGAATGGTGCGTGAATTTGTTACCTTATCACACAGTATTAAAATCTCCTATTCCAACATAAATGCAAGATAACTCACCATATCTGCAAAGGAATATCTGATTGAGTCTGAAAGACAGCTGACATGGTATCCACTAAGGTTTGGAAACTCAGGCTTCTGCTCCCCTCTTGACCATGAAGTTGATTGATGAAAAGCAGGTTAGTCATGGACTCTCAGCCTAACCTACCTTCCATTACATTTCTGAGAGTAAAATGCAGAGGAGGAAATTGAGGAGGATTCTGTGAGCAGGCTGAGGTTCTTTGCAGGAGAAAGTTGGGGTGTAGCCAAGAAAGGGATATGTGTGCCAAAGGATGTGCTAGTTATAAAATAACATTGCTGAAGAGTGAAAAGTGATTTTGAGATTGTCATATATTTGTCTGTATGCACAACTATAATGCAAAGTATCAATAGCTAAAATGGAATGAGCAGAGCAATGCATTCGTTTAACAAGTCCCAATCTGTGACAGAAAATTGGAGAATAAATTAAAAAGTATACAGTATGTGTTTCATTACTTCTTCCACCTTACTAGACATTCCTTGCCGTTTAACTCAGACCTCAGCAAAAGTATATAGCATTTAGGGAAAATATGCAACCCAGTAAGCCAGCACTGGAAGCTAAGATGGAGAAGATCTCCACAGCCACCATGTATTATTTATTTATTTATTTTATCAAAACATTTCTATGCCGCCCCTTGCCGAAGCCTCAGGGCGGCTCACAACACAAAATAAAATACAATAAAATACAAAAATAACAATATAAAATTAACAATATAAAATAAATAACAATATAAAAGAAGTCACCCTGGCCAGAAAAATAAGCTAATATTGTTAACAATTAAAATGACACTTAAATAAAAAGATCTTCGCCTGCCACCAAAAAACAAATAACGACGGTGCCAGGCAGACCTCTCTGGGGAGCATTTTCCATAGATTGGGTGCCACTGCAGAGAAAGCCCTCCTCCGAGTACCTACCCTCCTAATTTCTTTCACGGAGGGTTCCCGGAGAAGGGCCTCTCCCGCAGATCTCAAGGGGCAGCCGGGCATATATGGATGTAAGTGCTCCTTCAGGTAGGTTGGAACAAATGACAGCCAATCACTGCAAAACACCAGCATGCTGAACGTGATGAACTTGGCTTCATTGAAACTGTCAGGCAGTTTCCTGGCAAGGAAAGTCACAACAAAGCTGACGATGGACAGAAGTCCCAAGTAGCCCAGCACACTGTAAAACGTGACTAAAGAGCCTTCGTTGCACTCTGCAATGATCTGCCCTGGT